TAACACCGAATTTTAAACACTGAATTTTTTTAACACCGAATTTTAAACACTGAATTTTTTTAGACATTGAATTCCTTACACTCAATTTTTATCTGGTAAAAATTCACCAGAAAAAAATTCAGCTGCAAAAGTGTTGACCTTTTGGTGAACTCAAGCCAAAGCAATCTACACTCGATAGAGTCGAGCAGCTTCTAACCAATGAAATTAGCTAATTTGGTCACGTGACACAACGGCTGCGCTCAACCGCGCCGATCACAGCTAGTACGGCACCCCTGTCTGCAAAGGCTCTTGGTTTGATCCGGAAGAAGAAGCGGCCGGCGGCAAACTTTTTTTCTTCTTCATTTCGGCCAGAGGCAACATGGCGGCGGCAAACAGACAGGGGTGCCGTACTAGCTGTGATCGGCTCAGCTGTTTCACCCAGTCTGATAAGAGGGAAAACTCTAATAGCTGTCTGTTAGTAGCTAACTGACGTTTTGTAATTCTATCTGTTTAACAAAAAAGAAAATCCTTATTCGGCCGGGAACAGCGCTGAGCCCAGCCGTTGTGTCACGTCACCAAATGAGTGTAAGGAATTCAATGTCTAAAAAAATTCAGTGTTTAAAATTCGGTGTTAAAAAAAAGGCAGATTCCAATGAGACTGTTTTTCTTCCATACGTCTCCTCCTGTGCTGGTTTGTGCAGCAATAATTGTCGCTTGTGCCGCTATCGTTTTTTTCAGGTAAAAATTCTATTATTCATATTCTTAGGTTAGCAACTGATATGTTAGCAATAATTTATATGAAAATCACCGTTTCAGCATGAAAAGATGTTCACAGACCTTTGATGACCTCTACAAACTTATCATTAAAATGATAGCAGTATAAAACTTTTATATACTTTAACATATGCATTTTAAATATTTCACAATTAAAATATATATTTTAAAATTGTATATTTTTGTATAGCAAAAATTTTACATTTGTACTGTTATCAACCAGCTAAAAACTGTTACTTCCAGCACTGTGTTCTGTGAAGCTGCCAGCAGATGGCGACAGATGCAAAGAAAACAAAACCTCTTATAGAAGATAAGTGGAAAGTTCACAGCAAAGATTTGACCAAAAGTCGGATCCATCAGATCTTTGAATCATTTTATTAGTTGTTCTTTTTTTTTTATGTATATGTGTCTGTCTTAGACTAATAGATCTATTCTATTTTTGCAAATGTCACCCTGAAAGGAGGCGAGCACAGCTGGTCATTACCTCACAAGGCAGTGGCAGCCAGGTAACAGTCAGGTAGGTGTGTAACATCTGGAGCTTGGCCTCCAAGGAGAGAGCCACACTGAGAAACAGAAAAAAGAACCGTGATAAATACGAGTTTAAAAACTTTATACAACAAACCGTCTGCAGACTCAAAGGTGGAGATTTCAGCAGCTGGCAGAGCTTCCTTAAATTAAAGGGGGAAAAAACTTCATCAACATCAAATTAGCTTATAAACCTCCCTAGAAAATGTATAACTTTATAAAAAATATAAATCTAAACCGTTTCCATTCTAAAATTGTGGTGAACCGGCGCTTAAATGTGTTGTTTTCTCTTTCGATTCGACTGTTTCTACATTTAATCAAATAGAATAGTAAAATACAAAGTATACATGTCGAGCAAAAAGCTTTCAGCTTTGTGACCGTTAAACCTGAGCAGATACGGACACCCGACACCAGCAGCTCAGGTAAAGGAGGCTCTTTTTGCAGCTTCATCACTCCAGGTTTTTTTCATGCTAATCTTATTGTCAGCAGACGAACCGTGCGCTAACATGACGGAGCACATTAAGCCTCACGGACAGACGCTTTTAGGTCCTATTATTACCTCGCCAGCATCACGTTGTCCGTGTCGTCTTTTCCCCATTCCCAGTCCTTCCCAGGATCCACAGCAAAGTGCAGAGGCAGCATTTTGTGCTCCGAGTCGGTGAGCGGAATCACAACTGCTGGGTGGAAAAAAGAAAGATGGACTGTGAGAGGGAGAGCTACAGTTTTGCTGCTCAATCACGTTTCCTAAATTGGATCATAAATATTATGGATGTTCACAAAATCAGACTTTTAATTACCGTAAATTCCGGACTATAAGCCGCTACTTTTTTCCCGCTGTTTGAACACTGCGGCCTATAATACAGTGCGGCTAATACATGTTTTTTTTTTTTCGTGGCGCGAAAAACAGACCAATAAAATTGATGAGTATTCACAGAGGTCCAATGAAAATATGCGATACATAATTCTCACTTTCACAGTTATTTACAGTCTTGTAAATCAGTCAGCATCACCGGCATCACCTCAGACACAGAGGTAGAGGACTTTGAGGGTTTTAGTGCGCAGGAGGAAGAAGAAAGCGATTAATGGCTTTTCCTGGTCGGCTGCAATGTTCTGTGCGTTGTTCAATTAAAAGTACCGGTATATGCAGCGTTATTTGCGTGTTAACGACACATACGTATATTTAAATGTGTTAAAGGTAGTTTGAAAAAAAAAAAAGCATTCATAATATGTAGCATATTTGTTTGTTTTATCATACGGATTAAATCAAACGTAAAAAAAAAAAATGCTCACGTGTAATATCTTTATTTGTAAATATCTCATACAACGTTTGAAACCTGCGGCTGTAAAAGTACAAAATAGATTTTCTTTCTAAAATTAGAGCGTGCGGCTTGTAATCAGGTGCACTCTATAGTCCAGAATTTACGGTAACTGTAGATTGATACCTTTTTTAGATTAACTTTTGTTTTATCTGGTTATTTAATACAATTTTAAAATAAATTACATTCAGTGTTGTATCCTGGTGAAGATTCTCAGCCCACTGGACTCGGTTTCCAGGTTTGTAGAACGTTTTGCTTCCCATCCAGGAAGAAGCTTTTTTTAATTCAAAATGTTGCAGCCTAACAAAGACCCATTCGTTAGTTTCAATTTGCATGTTTTCTAAGCCAAAAAAAGGCTTTGCCGTTGGTCCGCTTTATAAAGCCCCAAACTCAATTTTCTATTTCTATTTCTGACATTTTGAATTGAAAAAGCTTCCTGGATGGGAAACGAAACCTCTTCAAACCTGGAATCTAAGTCCAGTGGATTGTTTTTTAACTTTTTTTGGAAGTTTAGTGCTGTAGTGTTGCCGCCATCCAGTAGAGGGTGCAATTGTTTATCTTAAACGGAGCCTCACTGCTTTTTGCAAGAGAAGTAAAGCCAGAGGCGATGCCTGCTAGAGCAGAACCATAAACGGATCTAGATTCCGGTCTGGATTATTTATAAAATAACAGTGACAAGGATTCAGAACTAACTTTTTGTGGCTCTGGTTATTAATATAAACACTGATAAACTCCTCTAGTTCCAAACCTAAATAGCTC